TTAATGTGATAGAAGTAAATAAAATGGGGCGAAAATAGTAACTTTGTTCCTCATTTGCATGATAAATTCTTCATTCATTCTTTACGACATACAAACATATGAATATATTTTAGTTTTCGACAGCAGAAGGAAACCGAAGCATCACAAAGACAAAATGTAAACTGCAGGTTCAAAAGAAACAACTGTGAAATAGTAATGATTTGAAGTCAAGTGATGTTTACAAAAACTGAAATTTGTATTGATTAGGTTTTAAATTTAGGCTTCACTTCTTTTATCAATGTATTCCAATGTAAATTAAAAACAGTTAATGAAAGTCATTCACATTTTGGTTGTAGCTGTCACATTCCTTTGGATGTCTTTAGATTACATTTCAGTAAACTGCATACGGATCTTTGTGGGAAATGATTCCCATAACTCATGAACCTCCTCGCACAAATTTCCAAAGTAAAAGCACATCACGTTGGAGTTCTGGTGAAATGGGTTCTCTCGCAGTCGATTCCCTTTGATGAACTGGACACTCCACATTTTAACGTCTCGTAACTCCATGGTTACAAATTACAAATTTTATTACGCACACTAATAGCATTTTGTATATTAATGTGTGCACAGAGCACGGTGGCGTGGTGGTTAGCACTGTCGCCTCACAGCAAGAAGGTCCTGGGTTCGATTCCGCCCAGTGGCCTTTCTGTGTGGAGTCTGCATGTTCTCCCCGTGTCTGCGTGGGTTCTCTCCGGGTTCTCCGGCTTCCTCCCACAGTCCAAAGACATGCTCTGGGGATCAGGTTAATTGGGGACTTTAAATTGCCCGTAGTTGTGTGAATGTGAGTGTGAATGGGTGTGTGTCTCTGTGTTGCCCTGCGATTGGCTGGCGACCAATCCAGGGTGTACCCTGTCTATCGCCCGAAGTTGGCTGGGATGGACTCCAGCCCCCCCGCGACCCTGTGTGCAGGATAAGCGGTTTGACAATGGATGGATGGATGCCGCGTCCTGCAGTAGGTGACCACTGGGGCTCTCAACATGGCTCAAAAATGACGTGAGAATATTCGCTTAAAAAACACAGATATTCAAATATATTTAGTTAAGTTTAAACCAATTTAACAACATATTACCTACAACTGACTTCTATAATTTTAAAATCTAAATCTTATACTAGTCTCTTGGATCCGATTTCTGTCTGCTTAAGGACGTCTTCACTCGATATGGTGAATCTGTCCTTGTTGACAGGACATGTACCACAGTCCTTCAAGGTAGCTGTAATTAAACCTCTTCTTAAGAAGCCTACTGTTGCTCCAGAGGTGTTGGCTAACTACAGACCTATCTCTAATCTTCCCTTCCTCTCTAAGATCCTTGAGAAATCCATTGCTTCATATATTCATTCATTCATTAGACGGTGACTGCTGGGAACAAAAGGCGCCGCGTCGGAGCTCAGCCGCGCCTCCAGAAGCGAGTCTCCGCTGCTCATTGGTGGAAAATGATTTCAAACTGTCCGCCAACTCTCAGAGGTCCCGCCCTCTGCTCTCGCGCCTGGAGCCTCTTCTCTGGTTGGTGCGCGCGTCAGGGACCGTCCCGCCCACTCCGCGGACATATAAAGGAGGGTTTGACGCGTTCACAGACACTTCCTTCCCTGAAACAGTTTAACAATGAGCGGCAGAGGTAAAACCGGCGGAAAGGCCCGAGCGAAGGCCAAGACCCGCTCCTCCCGAGCCGGGCTCCAGTTCCCGGTCGGTCGCGTCCACAGGCATCTGCGCAAAGGGAACTACGCGCAGCGTGTCGGCGCAGGAGCCCCCGTCTACCTGGCGGCCGTGCTGGAGTACCTGACCGCTGAGATCCTGGAGCTGGCCGGAAACGCCGCCCGCGACAACAAGAAGACCCGCATCATCCCGCGTCACCTGCAGCTGGCGGTCCGCAACGACGAGGAGCTCAACAAGCTGCTGGGCGGAGTGACCATCGCTCAGGGCGGCGTGCTGCCCAACATCCAGGCGGTGCTGCTGCCCAAGAAGACCGAGAAGCCCGCCAAGAAGTAGAGACGGAGGCCTCCATCTGCACCACAAAGGCTCTTTTAAGAGCCGCCAACCCCACGAAAAGAGCTGCGGTCCACATGTCTCAGTATGAAGCACAATAACAAACTCCTTTCTGGTGCTTTGCATTTGTTCTGATAAGTGTTTGTGTATAAAACACTTTGAGGGTAATTAACTGATTTGGGATCAACTGACCAGATAACTATTAGATCAGTATTTGGTTATAGATCAAGTCATTGATGCGGTGTTTAACACTGGCTCAGTGCCTACGATCTATTTTCCTGTTGTCCTTTTTGATGTTTTGCTATTTCAGTAAATCCCACTGTAATCAATGTAAAAATACAGTGGATATTTGTTAAATCTGTCTCTCTGATTCCAGTCCATCAAATGTTCTATTTGTTTATTTATTTAAAAGGATCCCCATTAGCTGACGCTGAGACGACAGCTAGTCTTCCTGGGGTCCAAAAAAAAAAATACATAAAAGAACAGTAATCACAATCACAATTACTCACATATATATGCCTGACCACCAGCCAAGCAAGACGGTCATGCATCTCTGCAACACTAGTTTGCAAAGAACAACCAAGAACCAGTCTTGCAGCCTTATTTTGAGCCACTTGTAATTTTTTTAAATGACTGATTGCTGCAGCACACCGTACAACAGAACAGTAATCCAGACGACACAAAGCCAATGTACAAACAACACGACTGAACAACCGTGAATTTAGAAATTGTGCACATTTAAGCGTTACTGCTACAGTTCTACCCATTTTAGCAAACACTATGTTGATGTGATCAGACCATAACAATGTGGAATCCAGCCAAAGTCCAAGAAGCTTCACCTTTTTTACCTGCTGTACATTTTGACCATTTACTTGTATATTCATTTTCGGATTATCAGATAGTCTATGCTTAGAAACAAATATTATACTCATAGTTTTTGAAATATTTAGAACAAGTTGATTTGTTTTGATCCAGTTATACAATTTGCTCATCTCGCAAGACAGAACCTGATTAAGCTCTGAACATGTGGGGGCTTTATAATAAAGAGTGGAATCATCAGCAAACATAGTTAATGTAGCCTTACTGAGTATATACGGCATATCATTCGTAAAAATCGAAAATAACAAAGGTCCGAGGCAACTTCCTTGAGGAACACCACAATCCAGGGACTTGCTACAAGATAATACACCATTAAAATAAACTCTTTGCGACCTCTCCGACAAATAGCTCTTTTAGCCAAACTAACCCGATGGTTGATGTCGAGCTACTTGATTCCTCACAAACTAATCTGCGCTCAAACGTTAATTTAAACTACTAGACTTCAGTCATCAGAATAATTGCGCTCATCCAACTTCTAAAGTCACATCACAAAGTGAGTCTAGCCATAAGAACACAAACTGTACATGTTTCACTTCCGTGGCTCAGTGTGCTGAATGCCTACAAGTCCTGTTAAGGTGCCCTATAATATTTATTTATGACTATTATACATGTATTTGTCTATTCTGGATGAAAAAAGGTGTGTGTCATGTCTTGACACGTCAAGAATTGAAGTGTGTAACTGTAACTATCAACAGGGCCCTGTGATTGTGAATGGTTTGTGTGACGGTCATTAGATGATTTCAGTGCACACAATGATTCTTACAACATGATTCTCAATGTGAAACTCACGAGACAAACTCGTGTTAAAAGCACCAAAGTGATTCGGTCTCAATAGAGAAATCCGCCTGTGAGACGCATGCGCAGTATCACACAGAGGACAACCAATCACGCTCGAGCAACCGCACAGTGACATTTGCATCTCGTTCATATATGAACACCGTCCTGTTCACATCGCGACATTGTCAGTCTGCGACAGAGACTTGAATCATGCCTGAGGTTGTGAAAGCGCCAAAGAAGGGCTCCAAGAAAGCCGTGTCCAAGGCCGTCAGCAAGAGCGGCAAGAAGAAGAGGAAGACCAGGAAGGAGAGCTACGCCATCTACGTGTACAAGGTGATGAAGCAGGTCCACCCCGACACCGGCATCTCCTCCAAGGCCATGGGCATCATGAACTCGTTCGTGAGCGACATCTTTGAGCGCATCGCCGGCGAGGCCTCTCGCCTGGCTCACTACAACAAGCGCTCCACCATCACCTCCAGGGAGATCCAGACCGCTGTGCGCCTGCTGCTGCCCGGCGAGCTGGCCAAGCACGCCGTGTCTGAGGGGACCAAGGCCGTGACCAAGTACACCAGCTCCAAGTGAGCCTGATGTAGACCACCAACCCAAAGGCTCTTCTAAGAGCCACCCACCTCTTCTAAAGACAGTTTCCTTATGCTTGTGTTTTTTGTGTAATAAGTGCATATACGTGGTGAACTCAAATCACCAACATTTGACGTTTGATATAAACTAGTATATATTATAAATATCAACTTGTTTTTCTGTTTGCAGCATTGTGTTCATTCATTGATTTAAACATTGGTTGATGGTCACATGAGATGATAATCTAGACTCTTAATAGTGACTAAATGGTAAAATATGTGAATAAATTCCTATTCATTCAAAGTTCTTTTGGAATTTTTGTCAGTCGTTTCCTCGACACAATTGAGGGAATTTTTAGCTGTTTGTGGCTTATCACTTTTCCCGATGTGTTCATTTTTAAAATGGAACAGTATTTACTTTTTTATAATGGTTTTATATTAATTTATATTATAATGGTCATAATTTCATCTGTTATACATGTTTATTTGAAATGTACAAATTGTTTCATTATTGCTTATCAATTTAAAGCAGAAACTGCCTTGTTGCCTGATATTCATCCATGGTTTATTATTATTAATCTACCAAAAATACACTTCATTCATAATAGTCACTATTGTATATAAACAAGTTCTACTCATTTATGTATCGAGGAAAATGTGTAATCTGTTGTCCAACTTGTTATTTCTAGGGAATCTATAAATCCAGGTGCATCTGTTTAATTTAAGAAAGGGAACCTCAGACAAAGCGCAAGAAGGACAAGTTTAATAGAAATGGAAACACTTTGACCTGATTGTAGATGTTTAAGGGCAAGACAGTGTAGAGACACCAGCAGTGGGTCAAAGGTCTCATGTGTGTATGTAGACTAGGAGACATCAACCAGAGAGACGCACAATAGTGGGACAACATCAGAATGAGGGATCTTAAATAAAGACTGTGTGTATAATAAACAGTGTATAACAAAAGTATCGTGTTAACTAAAGAGAAGGAAAAGCTCTTTAAGGAAGGATTGGGTGGCTCTTAAAAGAGCCTTTTATAGAAGCGTTGGTTGTTCAGACTGAGGTCAGTTTACTTCTTCTTGGGTGCTGCTTTCTTGGCTTTGGGCTTAGCGACCTTCTTCACGGGGGTTTTCTTGGCTGCAGGGGCCTTTTTCACCACCTTCTTGGGGCTCTTTGCCACCTTTTTGGGGCTCTTTGCTACCTTCTTGGGGCTCTTGGCCACCTTTTTGGAGCTCTTTGCTACCTTTTTGGGGCTCTTGGCCACCTTCTTGGCCGCTGCGGGTTTCTTGGCCTTCTTCGGTGACTTCTTAGCGGCTACAACTTTCTTCACTGCCGCTGCTTTGGGCTTTTTGGCCGCTGCGGGCTTCTTGGCCGCGGGCTTCTTGGCTTTAGGAGCGGCTTTCTTTGCCGGTTTGTCGGCGGTGGTTTTGCTCACCTTGAAGGAGCCGGAGGCCCCGATCCCCTTGACCTGGACCAGAGTCCCCTTGGCCACCCCTTGGCTAAAAGCTAAATGTGCTTCAGGTGCTGGAGGCTGAAGGCGGAGGAGCCGATAGCGGACTAGTTTCTCTGCGTGTTCAGGTCACGTGGAGCTCTGATGATCGATGCGTTTGGTTTGAGGAGCCTTCAAACGTCACCTACTCAGCGCCGAGGACAGCGCTGATCAGCGGCTTTTCCCACTCATTTCTCTCCTAAAAGTATTTAAAATACTTCAAATCTCCATCAAAAGTCTGTTTCCAAACTGTCCACGTGTTGGTTCAGGGTGTCGACGTAAAACCACCATGAGATGTTGATCAGTATTTGATAAAGTGCAGTTTTTGTGGAAGCAGCAAACACACTGACGGTGGTTACAGTTGAATCAGAGCTGCTCACTGTGTCTTCTGCTAATAGTTTTATTCAACACATTAATCATCAAATATACTCACACACTAATGTTGGTTTTTTGGGAAGCTTTTATATTCCTATAGGACTATTATTGTAACACATTATTTCTATTCTGATGAATTCTATGCGCACAGATGCAGTTCAGTTCAGTATTCAGCTGATGACGGAATTCAGCACTAAAAGTTTGAATTTTTAGTGCTGTCATTATTATATTGTGATTATTTTGTATGTAGATCAACTGTGAACAGCGAAGCACATGACACGCGATTAGATTAATGAATAACTTATTAACTCATGATGCTTCTACTTCAGCCCAAATAACAAGCTGTCTGCTCGACACACGAGAAGGTGACATTTCTCTCTCAGTTGTTTTTATGTCCTGAGAAATCATGTTATTGATGTTTAATATGCATCAACTTATAATCATCAAACACGCTCAAACTCAATGCTGCTTATTTTGGGAAGCTTTGATTAAGAAACACTCATTGACATTATTAGTGTAGAGCTGATGAATGAAGTCACCACAGATGCAAAGTTATATTCAGGTGAACATATCAATACTAATATTACTGTTAAATAGTTAAGTATTCCTAAGAAAAATTCAAAAATACTTAGTTCCAACCCTTGTATGAGTGTGGAACCTTAAATGCAGTAAAACACTGAAACAATTCACAAGCAATAATATGAAATTAGAATGAGAATTGAGTTTGTGGCGTATCTGTGATTCATCAGCATCCAACGTTTAACAAATTAACAATTGTGTTCAGACTGACTCTCTGAAATTGCATAATTGGAACCTTTGGCCTGACAGGAACAATATTGTGTTTGGGATAATAATTATCTGGAGAACTCTAGAGTTTTTGCCCGAGTGGTCAAAGGGTCAAAGTCGGCTGTCTTCAGTTGCTCATCTACTATCTGACAGGACAGAAAACTCCTGGAGAAAATTGGGAGAAATCCATAAAGGACGTTATCTAGCATCCGTCCCCAGGTTTTCACATCCAATTGTGACAGAATATGAATGTGTACAGTGTTTATATGATTTACATGACTATGCGTTGTGTTTGATTCATACTGCATTCACTTCATCGAACATGTTAATGTAATAACTAATATACTGTATAACATCACACAAACTACAATTCTAGACTAAACCTGTTGTGCCTTCCAATAAGTCACTTCGGACGCCTCAGGGGTTTCAATATGCTGTTCTGTTTATTCCTTTATCTTTGGATAAACAACTTAAACGTATAACAACAAAAATAGACCGTTACTAAACTTATAAATAAACCAACAAACAAACAAAAAAAACAAGCTAAAATTGAAAAACCATATGCCTGCTGGCATCCACGTACCTCCAACATTCGATTCCAAAAAACCCTCCAAACTCTCTTAAGGGCTCCTCCTTTGTCTTCCCCTGACCTACTAATTGGCACAGGTGTGCAACCCCAACTCCCCGTTCCAAGGCCGCAAGGTCAGGATTGGCCAGCAGGGGTCATTAAAGTAACCTCATCACCAATGGCTCCTACGAAACCTTATTACACGTATTATACTTTCCACCACTACGGGAGCACTTCTTGCTTAAATCACTATTCAGCATTAGTTGAACGTGGCAGAGCACAAGCTGATGCAGTCAGTAGCTACTCGCTGGAATTCAGTTTTTTACAAGCTGGAGAGGCTCTGAGAGCAAAAGGAAGCTGTGAGCACAGTGACCACAGCCCTCTGCCCTGTAGGGAGGAACACATTGTGCTTAGATGAGGGAGAATTATCCCTTATTCACAGGGGGGTATTGAGAGCATTGACCGTCCAGCTGCCAGTGCATTTCTGGATGTTAGGTTTAAACATCTTGGTTTTCGAGACAAAGACAATGTGGGGGTAATGAAAAAGCGTCTCCTTTCTGAAATACAGAAAGTCTATCAGACAGGACGGGCAGCTCCCAGTTTAGCCCCAAGCCCAACATCTACTGGCGCGATGCTCATTGGTGGAAAACTGTCCGCCAAATCTCAGAGCTCCCGCCCTCGGTGCTCGTACTGTCCGCTCCACGGACACGTGCAGTCAGTCTGCTCACCGGTGGCTGAGGGGAGGTACGTACCGTACGCATTAAGACCGAATTAATGTATTTCACTGTCTGTTTAGGTACACTTCATCATTTCTTTATGTGTAATATTGTAAGGGCATATGGGACGAGTGACGTCCATGTTTTTATTTGATTTCTGCAGGTATGTACTTTTATTCTATTTTATTTTATTACCATGTTCAGCAAATGTGATGTTCATTTATATGTCTTACGTTAGGAAGTCCGACAATTGTGGTGTAATCCTGCAGGTATTTATGTAGTATGTGTGAATAGAGGATATATTTCCTAAGGAGAACATGCAATGTGATCGGAGAGAAAACAGTTTGATGCGGACATTTATTCTCCATAGTTATTTGTATTTGTTGTATTTTGTTTTATGCTTTTGAATTAATGTAATTCAACTGTCAGTCTGCTCACCGGTGGCTGAGGGGAGTAGTAGTGTAACGGAGTTAGAAATACACTGTCATTTTCAAAGTATTGTATTTTATTTTTTGGCTATTATTCAACAATCTTGTTGAACGTGTGTGTGTGAATTTTATTTTGATGAGTCAAATTTGCGGAAATTGCGATTCATCTCTACTGCGCCTCCTCGGCTTCCGTAGTCCCGTTTTTCCTTCACAGTAGCGTTACACTGTTGAAGGTAAGTTGAGAGAAAAACGACGTCGCACTATTTCGCTATGTTCTTAATTATAACTGTTAACATCAGCTACCATTAGCGTGGGTAACATGACCACGGTTCTCAGCTGTGGTGCGTCATTATTCTAGACGATGGAGTGGTGATAAAAGTATACGTTTGGTCATTGTTTCATTTCACGCATTTGTACTCGCTACATCCGGTCGTCCTGACGTACACGTTCCCCTCCATAGACCCCGTGTGGAGGGAGCTGATGTGCGGAGACCAGAAGGCAATGTCTGTTTCATTGTCTTCTGCAGGAGCAAATAAATGCTGAAAAGATCAGTACCTGAGTCGACTACTTCCATGCCCTAAACACATCTGTTACAGATGGAGAAGAATCACGTCAAGGCGGTTAAATGCAGAGCAATAATTGTTTTCTATGGTTGATATTTATTTGGGTGTCTTTAAAGGAAAGATGGCGAAAGTCAAGAAGGACATCTTAAAAATTTTAAAGCAGCTCAAGGAGGAGGAGTTCAAAGAGTTCAAGTGGCACCTGGAGAACGAGCCGATCCCAGAAGACCCCCGAGCAATCCCAGGCTGTGACCTGAAGAACAAAGACCGGATGGACACGGTGGACCTCATGGAGCGGCACTACGACACAGACTCGGTTGAGGTGACCATGAAGGTTTTGGAAGAGATGCAAATGAACGAGCTCGCTGAAAAAATTATCCAACTCTACCGGTAAGTTGTTACAAAGAGGAACAAAGACAGATGTGGAGATATATATATATATATATATAAATATTTATATATATCGGATTTGTAATGTTGTGAGTGTCATTAGAAGTCATTTGGTCACAGGCAAGTATGAACACTAACTGACCATCAATACAAATTGAGTCTCATAATTGGTGTTCACTCAATAAGAGGTACGATTCCACATTGAGGAGGAGACTCATGAGTGAAGCTTTGTTCTGCTGGACCGGAGATTCTACACTAGAGACTCTCTGGTATGAAGATGCTGCAGCCGCAGACCATCAGTCTGGTAGAGGAGGTAGAACTGGAAACCTTTTCTCTGTCACACTGTCAGCCTGGCACACCAAGCTGATCTCAAACTACCAGAGACTAACGCTGTTTGTGTCCCACATCAGACCATCAATACAGACAGAAGTAGTGAGGGACAGTAGCCAGCATGAGCGTAAACCGGGAGGAAGGTGATGAAAGCTCTTATCAAACAACCCTTTGCAGTTCATTTATAAAATGACGCGCCAGGCAGTTGCGAGCACGTTGGCCAGCGAGCGGTGAACAGCCGTTCAGTTGGCCAACGGGCTTTTTCGGGATCAATAAATGAATGTGTTTCGTCAAAAATAAATACCGTGATATACCATCAGAATCAAGAAACAAAATGCCGTGATATGAATTTTTGCCCATACCGAGGCCTACTTCCATCCATCAGGTGACAGAGACTCCTGAGGAACCTTCATGTTGATGTGAACCTGCTGGATGTGGAAGCAGCTGGTTGATCTCATGTTAGACAGAACTACTCTAGAAGATGATCACGTCACATGTTGTGTTCACAGCTTGTTGTCACTGAACCACAGTGGACAAAGAAACCACCTGATGATGTTTAAACATTTGATTCACTGACTGCTGAAGGAAACTGTGAGATGGAAGATGATGATCCTGATTATAATAGATGATGAATAAGTGAACATGATGGTCATCAGCCAATCAGAAGAAGAACAGGTGGTCCATGTGGACATGAAGGACAAAGCTGTGTGATGTAATGTCCATGTCTCCATGCTGCTCTGACCCCCCTCCTCCTTTCAGGGTGGAGCCTGCTGGAGTCCGATGGCTGACACCAGGTCTGAGGAAGTGTAAGTGTGCAGATTCAACCATCTTCACACTGTGACATCACTCATTCACCTCTGTGATGTCATCATCAACGTGTCAGTAGATGAACACATGATTAATAACTGCAGCTGTATTGTGTCTTGTTCTCTCATCAGATTCCTGTGAACTCACAATCGACACAAACACAGTAAACAAACAACTCAAACTGTCTGACAACAACAGGAAGGTGACATGGGTGAAGGAGGATCAGTCCTATCCTGATCATCCAGACAGATTTGACCACTATCGTAACCTGCTGTGTAGAACTGGTCTGACTGGTCGCTGTTACTGGGAGGTCGAGTGGAGAGGAGACGTTGATGTATCAGTGAGTTACAGAGGAATCAAGAGGAAAGGAGACAGTAATGATTGTATGTTTGGAGGGAGTGATCAGTCCTGGAGTCTGGTCTGCTCTGATGGAGGTTACTATGTCCGTCACAATAAGAGAACAACATCCATCACCTCCTTCTCCTCCTCCTCCTCCTCTGGTAGAGTAGCAGTGTATGTGGACTGTCCTGCTGGCTTTCTGTCCTTCTACAGCGTCTCCTCTGACACACTGATCCACCTCCACACCTCCAGCACCACATTCACTGGACCTCTTTATCCTGGGTTTAGCCTCTGGTCCAAGTCTGGTTTTGATTCCTGTTCTGGTTCCTCCGTGTCTCTGTGTTCTCTGTAGGAGGGAGAGTCTCCCCCACTGTCCCGCAGACTGTCCCGCAGACTGTCTCTATTGTTAGGGATTTAAGTAGAAGTGCACACCTAGCGAAATCATAGTACAAGTAGAAATGTATAGTCTAGAATTGTAGTTTGTCTGATGTTATACAGTATATTCGTTATTACATTAGAATGTTAGAAGTGAATGCATTATGAATAATCAAACAGAATGTAGAGTCATGTAAATCATATAAACACCGTACACATTAACACCTGGGGACGGATGCTAATTGCCGTCCTTTATATTTCTCCCCATTTTCTCCCCAAAGAGTTTTTTTGGGAGTTTCTTCTCTCAGTTAGTAGATGAGCAAAGAATGTACGACAGCCCTGCGAGGCAAACTTTCTGATTTTGGACCACATGTGTTTAACATGAGTTAAACACATTATATATATATATATATACAGCAACTGGATGCAAGACAGCCGATTGAGGCAAATGTGTTGGACCACATAAACAATGTTAGACCTTATGATGAACTCTGATCATTTATGATCAGAATTAAAGTGTACTAGTTCTAAGATGAAGACAAACTATGCATGCTTTGTTATATTCACTCATTGAGGCATAAAGCCAACTGTATCTACATTGAATGCATTGGAATGTGAAAGACAGATAGGACAGAGAAGGTCTCAGGTTACAGCTTCAGCTTCACACCTCAATGTGAAGGGGACAATCCAGGAGGAGACACGTTTGAAGGAGACGCCAATGACATTCAAATGCACCCAAGAAGACACATCTGAGGAGTTTTCAAATGACCAAAGCGGGGAAAGGACTGTTAGAATTCTCCTGCAGCCGCTTTGATAAGTCACTTTAGACTTAGTGAGAGAATTCTCTATTTTGCGAAATATTTTATTGTTCGGATTGTATTTCACTTTGTAACTATTCCTTATCACTTTGTTTAGTAATTAAATACTTTTTGATTTCTAAATATGAGCAAGTTGACTCTTTTGATTCGTTTCTGGCCAGGACGAGAACAAAGGAGTGAGGCCTCCTTCGAGGGTCCAAATAAACCCTTAACACTGTGCGGTCTCACACTGTCCATGTGTAGGAGCCATTCGTGATATTT